CAAGCAAAACCCGTCGACTAGGATCCAAGTAAGCAAGTTACCTAATCTAGCTTAAAATCTGATTTATTCTATTTTTGGGATTCCAAAACTACCCGTATTTACAAGTTGTGTTATGTGGAGGTGTAACTAATGACACACGTTGAATTTGGAAAGATCTTCAAATGGTTGTAATGGATGTAGGAATTAATTTAGAAACTTATTTGAGATTAAATATTAAATTCAACATTAACATATTAGTAACGTTTTGGGTTATTTTTTGACCAAAAAAAAAAAAACGTTTTGGTTTATTTAATAAATTTTTGTTGTTGTTTTCCTTTTATGAATTATACTACTAGTAATCTATTTTATTATAGTTTTATGAATAATAGTGTACATTCTAATTATGTTGAAAAATATTTTGATAATCTATTTATTGTTTGTTTTATGAAAAACTATTTTTTTTTTAAATGAACCTATTTTTCCTCTCCAAATAATGTACATATACACATTTATAGGTATATTATAAAATAATTTACCTATGGGTAAATAATGTACCTATATTTTCCATAAATTATTGTGTATCTATTTTTAATTTATGAAAAATGTACGGAAATTTCAATTACAAAGTAACTGACTTAGTTTTTTTTGTTTTTTTTATATAAAAATTTGGTAAATAATATACCTATATTTTATTTAAATAATATATTTATATTTATATTTTTTTTTATAGGTATATTATTGGATATGTAATTTACAGATTTTTTGTTTGGTTTGCAATTTTAGGGGGCGGTATGGGAGAGGGAATGACAAGCAAAACAAATGGGGTGATTGATATGCTATTAATAGGGAGTGTTAATTACAATTATGACAGTTAATGAAATGCTTGAAATAAATTATAAATAAAATATGAAGTTTGGTGGCAATGATGTAAAAATATAGGAATACTACGACCTTTTATATCCTACTGGTCATTTAAATTTGAAACTGGGTTTTACACATAGATTTATAGAGTGATGGGTATATGTCTAGGAAAGAAAAAATACAGGGATCTATATTGGACAAGCCCTTTATAATAAAAGGGCCTGCCTAGCGATTGTAGCCGATCGGCTATACTATTTATTAAAAAAAAACATGCCTATCGATTAGGCCCCACATGTCAAAACAAATATAGCGGCTATACTATTTTTTAAAATAAAAACAGGAGGACATGCTTAGCAATTAGGTGCCCACATGATCAGGATAGGCAGACGCTTGCTCCATTTTTTGCCAAACCAAAAATTACCCAATACGCAATAGAATAAAATTTCTTCTGCCTACTCAAACCCAACCCACCAGAGGTGGTCCTACCCTAAGCGCAGGGTAGGCAGCCGCCAACTCCATTTTTTGCCAAACCAAAAATTAACCAATGCCCAATACAATCAAATTTCTTCTGTCTACTCAAACCAACCCACCAGGGGCCATCTACCCTATGGGTAGGGTAGGCAGCCGCCTACTCCATTTTTTGCCAAACCAAAAATTACCCAATATTCAACCCAACCCACCAGGGGCCATCTACCCTATGGGCAGGGTAAGCAACCGTCTACTCCATTTTTTGCCAAACCAAAAATTACCCAATACCCAATACAATCAAATTTCTTCTGCCTACTCAAACCCAACCCACTAGAGTCCGTCCGTCCTACCTAAGGGCAGGGTAGGCAGCCGCCTACTCCATTTTTTGCCAAACCAAAAATTACCTAATACCTGTGGTAGATTGAAGAAAAGGGAAGGATTCTGAGGATATGGAGAGAGGAAGAAAGAGCCTTCATCCATAGAGGAGCATGTGCATGCCAAATTCTCTAGAGAAAGAAAGAAAGGATTCTGACTATTTCAAGATTTTAGATTGGTACATACTCGTTTGTAGTTAGGCATAAAACCTAGGTTTTCTTTCCCTCTCCCGCCTTATTCTCTTCTCTGTTCGCTCTCTCCCAAACGACATTGCACTGTATGCTGGTCAAGCTGACACTTCGGTCATAGGTGGCCTAATGATGAAAGAGTGAGCACAAAGCTAGGTTTAAACTACGGACATCGTAACACCAGAGTTTTACCTAATAAGCTTATTCATATATGTTGTATTGTTCTTTATTATGGAGGTATTTATAAATAAGTACAAAGATGTATTAACTCTAAATACAATAGGAAATAATTCTGAATTACAATAGGACTAAATAAATAGGTAAGGAGCCAAAATCCTCACTATAGAATTTCGCAAGGAAGCACCATTCATTTGTCAAACTACTTGGACACAAAATGCTTAAAGCTGTAGAGCCTTTTTTACTAAGATATAATACAAAATGCCAATCTCAATTTAACTTTTGAACTCTGTGTTTTGTGTCCAGAAAAGGAAGATTAGAAAGATTTGTTTTACTCGTTGACCAAAGCTGAATGAAAGATTTGTTCTACTGGATAATTGATCTCTTTCATTGTCTTCTCTTAATACATAATTTCCAAACCTTTAACCTTAATTCATCCCTGTTGTAGAGTAATTAAGGGTAATTCAATAAATTAAAAGGGGTGCTGAATAATTAATTGATTTGACTCAACATTAACCCACTAAATGAAAAGTCGACTAAACCTTGAGATCGTTTTGCTAATATTTTTTGTATTATTAATTTAATACTAATCAGGACGCTCTGAGAGGTTCAACAACAGCATTAAGCATGAGAGATTATTGAGGGCTTAATGAAATGATTAATAGCCTTGAATTGAGTGTTTTTGTTATTGATGTGATGTGAGCACAGGCTCGGAACACTTATTTTAGTTACTTAAAGAACTCCATAACCCAAAAGTTACAGACAAAACATTCATATCTGATGCCACTAAATCCAGCACCAGTTGCCAGGGCCGTGAATTCTTGTTCACTCCTCTCCGTCCCTCCTGGATTTTGAGTCATCATAATCACATCAAATTGGGAAGTGGTTTTCGTAGCAGTGCTAGTATCTGGCATAGCTGGAAGTAGTGCTTCCACAACAATCACTTTCCATTGTCTGGAATAGCTTTGTAACAATTCTTCAACAGCTTTAGGCAGTGCTCATCGCTCCAATCATGAAGTATCCACTACAAACAAATGTATCAGAAGACAAGTAGAACAGCTTCATATATTTAGTTAACATTGTTAAACTAAAAGAAGAAAACCAAAAATTTAATTAATGCTTGAGAAATCCAAAAATTACCTTCATAAAAATGGCATCCCCACTTGGAACACTAGCAAACATGTCTCCTCCAACATGTTCCACACCTGAAAAAAAAAAAAATTAACTCCCATTTTATGCTGCACACTGCTTCCGATGAAGCAAAAACAAAGATTTCACATTGAATCAAATAAATTAAAGTTCTACCAGGATAGGAAGGGGCATGATTTATGACGTGGGGCAAGTCGTAATTGATACCCCTTATATGGGGATATCTAGATGTGACCAGATTAAGGGTCACTCCAAAGCCACCACCTACATCAACAAGTTGTGTGAGGTTCTTGTCTTGAAAACCCTTGTAGAAGTGAAGAAGTTTCTTGATGACAATGGTGCTGTGGTTAAACATTGCTGCGTTGAACGCTTGACTAAACCTGGGGTCCAAACCTAGAAACTCAAAAGTTTGCATGCCATGGACCCTATTAAATGGAATTCCTCCTTCAACAACTGCATCTTTCAGTTGAGACCTGTAGATTTATTATGTGTAGAAAGTTGGAGTTAGATACCCTATTAGTATTATAATTAGCACAAACTATGTGGGTTGTTTCTTTGCCTTCTTCTATTATTGGGTGGACCATTTATAATTTTAATAGTTACTTCCCTAGCCAAGATCCCAGACTGACTTTAATTATGCCATTCTAAGGAATGAGATTGTCTGTAAATTTGGGTATAATAACAGCGAATATGTCTCCTTACATCCAAGTTCGATCATATTCTCCCGTAGTTTTCTAGTTTCTTCATTATACTAATTTTTTTATATAATCATGTGTAATGCTACATTAATCAAACTTAAATAGATAAAAGGGGTCAAGATCAAAGACACACAAAAAGCTACACTTCTTGACACACCTTTTCAGTCTTTAGATGTTTCTTCATCCAACGGTTGAAAACACATATGATATTAGAAGCTCATTTATTATTTTATTGGTGTCATTAACCCATTGCACACAGTACGAGACTATCTCTACATTAGGAGAGAATTTTTTTCCTACAGAGTGAAACTCTCATACAACGGGGATAACACTTTTTGCTATTTCTGGCCAATAACATAATGACACATGGGATAACTTATCAACAGCGTCATTGAATAATTGGCCGGGAATAGCAAAATAGTGCTATCCCCGTTACAATAAAGTATTTTTCCTACATTAGCTGTATATTCTCTTCCCCCTCATTTATACCAACCATTTTCTCTCTCTAACTATTCAGAACAACCCTTTCCTCTGTCACCATTTTTTCTTTCTTTAAAGCACATGTTCCACTCTGTAAAAGCAAGAAGAAGATGAAGATAATGTGATTTTGTGATTCCTTCTGCCAATGAAACCTTTGTATTATGAAGTCCAAGCCTCACCTCACCTCACACAACTATTGCCTTCAGCTTGTTTAAAAAACAAAATATAAAGTGATCAAAGAGAAAGAGGACCCATTGAAATCACATAAACATATGCTATGTAGCAACTATTGCCTTCAGCTTGTTTGGTACGTCAGACTGTACTAACTAAATGTCTTCATAAATATATGAATTGTTTTTTAAATATCATATTTTTTGAACTCTAAAGGTTGAAAAGGTATGTCGAAAAGTGTGGCTTTTTGTGTATTCCTCCATCCCGACTCTATAAAAAAATCAGTAATAAATTGGTAATAAATGAATAAAGGAGGAAAGGAAAGAGGATAACTTAATTAGTAGCAAGGCCGAGAGGACTAAACTAACCAGACTTCCATGATGACCTTGTTTTGAGCCAATGCCACCATGGGGACCAAAGAACCACCTTCTTCATCATTCACAAAGTACTTGGATACGGGGCCAAGGCTATAGACCCTCTAAAAATCAGACGCACCATTTTCATCCTCATTAGCAGCAACAAGAGAGCAATGGAGAACAGAGTGGCTGGCGAGGAGCCTGAGGATCCTATCCATCATCATGGGTGCCTCAGAATTCTTGGTGCCAATCTTGGCTGCGATCTCAGATGAAGAGAGCTTGGCGCCTGGACCCTCTCTGGTTATGATCTCAAAAACGCCAAGCTCAATTGCTGATTGCAGAGATATGGACAGCGCATAAGAACTCACCAACTGTATGGCATAGCAGAAGCTTTCTTCTTCCTCTTCCTTTGTAATTTCATCCTCAGTCTCAGCATGATTTATTTTGGGATGGCTTTTCCTAACCAATGAAGAAGCCATTGTTGAAGATATAAAAGTCCCACGTCCGAAACAACTTCCACTCCTAATAACACCGAGATTTTTGTGATAAAACTCCACACCTATTGGGTTTTGTAGGTGATTAAGTAGGGTACAATATCGGTGTTGCTAACAGTGAGCCGCAGGCTTTTCTCTGAAATTTAACATATATTTATGAAATAAGGTATGCCTAACTTATGTTCTGCCTAAATTATGAAATAAGGTAGTTGTCAATGTTGATTTGACTCAACATTAAACCACTCAATTGAAAAGTCGACCAAACCTTGAGATCTTTCCTTGGCACAATTCATCACGCCTACTCCATTTTTCGCCAAACCAAAAATTACCCAATACCCAATACAATTAAATTTCAAAAAAAATATAAAATGTCTTACTGATACTTATTGAATATATAAATTTCAGGGAAGCTTTGACACAGAAGAGTAAAGACACATAAAAATATATAATTGGGAGCGGCTAGAGCAAACCCGAAAAGTAATGCTGCTAAGAACGTGTGGTCGGTTTTTGAAGCTTATACATATGTGTATATCTCGCAGCATTGTTCATAAATATGTGAACATTATTTTGTTTGCGTAAGCTTATTCTAACCAAGGTTATAAATGTACTTTGTCTTCATTTTGTAATTCATATTATTACGGTTCTTCTGTTACTTTAGAAGGGAAAGATCAAAGTAAATGAAGTAAAATAATTTGCAGACTTTCTGCGCAGTTCTGAGTTTGAGTCAGGGGTAGTCCTACACTAAGGACAGGGTAAGCAGTCGCCTACTCCATTTTTTGCCAAACCAATAATTACCCAACACCAAATACAATCAAATTTCTTCTGCCTACTCAAACCTAACCCACCAGGGGCCGTCCTACCCTAAGGGCAGGGTAGGCAGCCGCCTACTCCAATTTTTGCCAAACCAATAATTACCCAACACCAAATACAATCAAATTTCTTCTGCCTACTCAAACCCAACCCACCAAGGGCTGTCCTACCTAAGGGTAGGGTAGGCAGCCGCCTACTCCTTTTTTGGCCAAACCAAGAATTACCCAATACCTTTGGTTGATTGAAGAAAAGGGAAGGATTCTGGGGAAATGGAGAGAGGAAGAAAGAGCCTTCATCCATAGAGGAGCATGTGCATGCCAAATTCTCTAGAGAAAGAAAGAAAGGATTCTGACTATTTCAAGATTTTAGATTGGTATATACTCGTTTGTAGTTAGGCATAAAACCTAGGTTTTCTTTCCCTCTCCCGCCTTATTCTCTTCTCTGTTCGCTCTCTCCCAAACGACCTTGTACGATCCGAATTCAATGATTTTTCTTATGTAATGGTACTTTTTCTCTTCGCTATATGTATATTGATTTTATTTTCATATATATTACAAATTTACATCAAGATACTCCTAGAGTTCTAGGTTTTTGGAATTTTTTGTCAATTCGTGCACCAGTTCATCTTTACTCCTAGAGTTCTATTTCCATCAGATTGTTATGCTTTCCTTTATCTGAAGCAATCTTATAAACTAATTATAATAGATATAGTATTTCATGGTAGATTTATGATTCTGGGCTTCCAATTGTTGTGGTTGGCGTCTGGTATTATCTGTAGTATTTTTACAGTTAATCCATACACCGTTGTGCTTATTCTTGCAATCATATTATGTCTCCTATGCATAATCCTCTCTTAAATGATGACGTAACAAAAGAAGAGGATAGAAAAAAAGGGGCATTTGGAAATCTCTGCAAGGCAGTCTTTTGTATGAGTTTTTGGCTTCTTTTTTCCCCTTTCAAAAGTACATTCTAAAGGTGTTTATTAAGGATTCTTGTTGAATTTTGGATCTGCCCGATGGGTCCCACTCTAACAACATCGATACTGTCCCCACTTTACCACCTGCCCAATCCATCAGGTGTGGGGTTTTACCACAAAAGGCCTCGATATTAGTTAGAGTGGGGTAATTCTATTTAAACCCATTTCATTTCTTTCACCCAACTGATGTGGGATTCCAACAATTCTTTGGTCTTCTTGATGAGAAAATGTTTAGCAATTTGACCATTAATTGCCATTTGATTTGACAGAGTATCCAAATGGCAAACCCGGCCATTGTATGCTCCCATACTGTGAATGGTGTTTCCAAAGTACATTCAGAATTGCGAAAAGCAAAATTATTCAAGGTACTATGTGTTCCTTGGATTGTTGTCGTTTCCCTTGGCTCGTGACAAATTAAGTTGAAGATATCCAAATTCTTATGATACCTTAAATTAGGTCATCTGACACCTATTCTCTTTCACAGGACTTCTATGAGCTGTGGCCTCTGAAATTTCAATGCAAGACAAATGGTGTTACCCAGGTATAAAGTTCATAGCATCTTTTATAAAGTACTTGCTAGTTTCATTAGACTATTCCTTCTGTTTATGTGGTTGAAGAAGAATGGTGAGATACACACCTCCAAAGATGGGTTTTGATGGGTTTTGTAGTTTGTGCTGTTATAGTTATCAAATAGGACTTATGGAGCAGAGTGTTCCAAAGAGTTAATTAAGTAAAATAATCTGCAGACTCTGAGTCTTCAATATTTTCTTGCTTATGGATAAGAAACATTTGGCAATCTTTTATTAGGCTTGGAGACTTAACACCTTCATTTTAGTGTGTAAGTTTTCGTATGCTTTGGTTACTTAAAGAACTCCATAACCCAAAAGTTACAGACAAAACATTCATATCTGATGCCACTAAATCCAGCACCAGTTGCCAGGGCCATGAATTCTTGTTCACTCCTCTCCTTCCCTCCTGGATTTTGAGTCATCATAATCACATCAAGTTGGGAAGTGCTTTTCACAGCAGTGCTAGTATCTGGCATAGCTGGAAGTAGTGCTTCCACAACAATCACTTTTCCATTGTCTGGAACAGCTTTGTAACAATTCTTCAACAGCTTTAGGCAGTGCTCATCGCTCCAATCGTGAAGTATCCACTACAAACAAATGTATCAGAAGACAAGTAGAACAGCTTCATATATATAGTTAAACTAAAAGAAGAAAACCAAAAATTTAATTAATGCTTGAGAAATTCAAAAATTACCTTCATAAAAATGCCATCCCCACTTGGAACACTAGCAAACATGTCTCCTCCAACATGTTCCACACCTGCAAAACAAATTTAACTCCCATTTTATGCTGCACACTGCTTCCGATGAAGCAAAAACTAAGATTTCACATTGAATCAAATAAATTAAAGTCCTACCCGGATAGGAAGGAGCATGATTTATGACATGGGGCAAGTCGTAATTGATACCCCTTATATGGGGATATCTAGATGTGATCAGATTAAGGGCCACTCCAAAGCCACCACCAACATCAACAAGTTGCGTGAGGTTCTTGTCTTGAAAACCCTTGTAGATGTGAAGAAGTTTCTTGATGACAATGGTGGTGTAGTTAAACATTGCTGTGTTGAACACTTGATTAAACCTGGGGTCCAAACCAAGAAACTCAAAAATTCGCATGCCATGGACCCTGTTAAATGGAATTCCTCCTTCAACAACTGCATTTTTCAGTTGAGACCTGTAGATTTATTATGTGTTGAAAGTTGGAGTTAGATACCCTATTAGTACTATAATTAGCATAGACTATGCGAGTTGTTTCTTTGACTTGGGGAACTTAATAAAATTTGAATTATATAGGGCCTTTCTTCTATTATTGGGTGGACCATTTATAATTTTAATAGTTACTTCCCTAGCCAAGATCCCATTTATAATTATGCCATTTTAAGGAATGAGATTGTCTGTAAATTTGGGTATAATAACAGTGAATATGTCTTCCCCCTCATTTATACCAACCATTTTCTCTCTCTAACTATTCAGAACACCCTTTCCTCTATCACCATTTTTTCTTTCTTTAAAGCACACGTTCCACTCTGTAAAAGCAAGAAGAAGATGAAGATAATGTAATTTTTTGATTCCTTCTACCAATGAAACCTTTGTATTATGAAGTCCAAGCCTCACCTCACCTCACACAACTATTGCCTTCAACTTGTTTAAAAAACAGAATATAAAGTGATCAAAGAGAGAGAGGACCCATTGAAATCACGTAAACATATGCTATGTAGCAAATTAGGGCTTGTTTGGTATTGACTAACTGTCTTCATAAATATATGAATTGTTTTTTAAATATCATATTTTTTGAACTCTAAAGGCTGAAAAGGTATGTCGAAAAGTGTGGCTTTTTGTGTATTCCTCCATCCCGACTCTATAAAAAATTAGTAATAAACGAATAAAGGAGGAAAGGAAAGAGGATAACTTGATTAGTGGCAAGCCCGAGAGGACTAAACTAACCAGGTTTCCTTGACGACCTTGTCTTGAGCCAATGTCATAAAGGGGACCAAAGAACCACCTTCTTCATCATTCACAAAGTACTTGGATACGGGGCCAAGGCTATAGACCCTCTGAAAATCAGACGCACCATTTTCATCCTCATTAGCAGCAACAAGAGAGCAATGGAGAACAGTGTGGCTGGTGAGGAGCCTGAGGATCCTATCCATCATCATGGGTGCCTCAGAATTCTTGGTGCCAATCTTGGCTGCGATCTTAGACGAAGAGAGCTTGGCGCCTGGACCCTCTTTGGCTATGATGTCAAAAACGCCAAGCTCAATTGCTAATTGCAGAGATATGGACAGCGCATAAGAACCCACCAACTGCAAGGCATAGCATAAGCTTTCTTCTTCCTCTTCCTTCGTAATTTCATCCTCAGTCTCAACATGATTTATTTTGGGATGTCTTTTCCTCTCCAATGAAGAAGCCATTGTTGAAGATATAAAAGTCCCACGTCCGAAACTTACTAAATAAAATTACAATTTATATTAGTGGTTCCACCCTAATAACACCAAGATTTTTGTGATAAAACTCCACACCTACTTGGTTTTGTAGGTGATTAATTAGAGTACAATATCGGTGTTGCTAGTAGTGAGCCGCTGCCCAGTCTCTGAAATTTAACATATATTTATGAAATAAGGTATGCCTAACTTATGTTCTACCTAAATTATGAAATAAGGTAGTTGTCAATGTTGATTTGACTCAACATTAAACCACTCAATTGAAAAGTCGACCAAACCTTGAGAGCTTTCCTTGGCGCACAATTCATCATGGCTCGATGGTGTACGCTCGTATAGCGAAAAAATATAAAATGTCTTATCGATACTTTTATTGAATATATAAATTTCAGGGAAGCTTTGACGCAGAAGAGTAAAGATACATACAAATATATAATTGGAAGTGGCTAGAGCAAACCTGAAAAGTAATGCTGCTGAGATATGAGAAGAACTTGTGGTCGGTTTTTTACGCTTATACATATGTGTATATCTCGCAGCATTGTTCATAAATATGTGAACATCATTCTGTTTGCATAAGCTTATTCTAACCAAGGTTATAAATGTACTTTGTCTTCATTTTGTAATTCATATTATTACGGTTCTTCTGTTACTTTAGAAGGGAAAGATCAAAGTAAATTAAGTAAAATAATCTGCCGACTTTATGTGCAGTTCTGAGTTTGAGTCAGGGGCAATCCTACCCTAAGGGCAGGGTAGGCAGCCGCCTAATCCATTTTTGGCCAAACCAAAAATTACCCAATACCCAACACAATTAAATTGCTTCTGCATAGTCAAACCCGACCCACCAGGGGCCGTCCTACCCTAAGGGCAGGGTAGGCAGCCGCCAACTCCATTTTTTGCCAAACAAAAAATTACCCAATACTCAATACAATCAAATTTGGGTAATCTACTGAATTGCCCCCTGAACTTGTACATAACTCTCAATTTACCGCCTGACCTTTTTTTTTAGCGAATTAAGGGCTCGAATTAAATTTTATTATCAATGTTCCCCCTACCATCAAAATTCGAACATTTCATCTATTATTCCGTCCATTTGACTCACGTTGACTCTTTTTTTAGGGTTATTTTTGTCATTCAGCGCGGATTGAATTACCAACCTCTCTCACACACTTCGCACATCGCTTTCACTTTGGTAGGGTTGGAAAGGGACTGAATTAAGGGCGGGAAAGGGGACAAAATCGAGGGAATCTGAAAGCTTTTTCATAAAGCTTCTTTTGGCTCTGTTGATTCGACGCAACATGACTATGGATGTGTTGCCTCTGTAGGTGCGGAACAGAGGGCCTCCTCCCAAATACAGTAAGTAATCGCTTTTCCCAAGTTGAAATTTTTTAAGCTTGCGTGGTCCTTGGTCTGTCGGTGCTTTTGACATTTTGTGGTGTTGTGTGATATGCCTTTTTGAATATGAAATACTTGTGGTCCCAAAGCATTTGTGTTGTTTTGTTTGCATAATTGTCGGTGGATTTGAGTCAATTTCAAGTTTAGAATGGTAGTTGGGCAGTAAAGATAAGTTGGTGTGATAAAATAGTTCTTTTATATATCATTTTCTGTTTTTTTTTAGGTGATCCAGATTTGTTCTCCCTAGAAATTCACCATGGAGGTTATATTTCAAAGGGAAAGTATGTTCGGGGTAAGGTAACATGGGCAGACAACTGTAATGCTGACCACCTGTCAATGCTTGACCTGTATGATGTTGCTATATGTTTAGGATACGACCATAAAAAAATTCAGTACCACTACTGGAACAAAAGAAGGGGATTTGTTCCAATTGAAGTAGATGCCCATGTAGTTGAGTTTGTGGAGCATAC